TTAAAACAATTTGGCAGTGGAAAAGATGTGCACACATCAATGAAACAGAATGGAAAGGCAAAAACGCCAAACCAAAGTGAAATAGGAAAGATGATTTTTCAAATAAATGGAGAAAAAGTGATGTGATATTCCATAAATATTGTTGTGGTAGCTGGCTATCCATTTAGGAAAAAAACAGAACAGAAACATGAGTGCTTATCTAATTTTACTTCAAAAATCAAAAGTTTAAAGGTTAAACATAATGTAGTTCCAAAAATAAAACTATGAGTATTTATATTAAAAATGGTAGGAACTTTTCCAAATAGACATAAAAATGGGGGAACTATGTATACACAAAAATTTAAAATTTTCTCTGTAGCTAATATTCTGAAAACCAAGTCAAAACGTTCTACAAACCAGGGAAAACACTTCCACCCATATAAAAGATTTCTGAAGTGTATAATTTGTTTTAAAGAACAGACTCTCAGGAGAGAATAGGTATATGAATAACAGAGAAAGAGAAGTCACCCAGTGTCCCCAAATCACATTATGATAACTATCTTACTTTAAAATGAAGATCAACTAATGACATTTTAAATGCACACTGCTAAAAATTAAAAACTCTAATGAAACATAATTCTGGTAAGATGAGGAAAGATACTTTCAGGCAAGTGTTGGAGGAAAACAAACATTCTTTTGGACAAATACACAATTTGTAGAAATTTGTATAAAAATGTAATCTTTGACCCAGTGATCAGTCGCCCCCCCTTGTGAAGAGAGATCATTTACTTCACTGATAAGATAAAATTAGCATTTGTTTACTAACATCACAGGAAGTTCTGTGAGGTCTAAACTGATGAGAAATGCATACCGACAATGCTGACACAAAGGACAACTAGGAGCAAAACAAAAAAATGTCTCACCACAGTAAAATCCTGCAAACACCAAATACGTTGTCTTATACATATCAGCGGCTCCTTCTCCAGTCAGATAAAAATGCAAATGCTAGGTGACTGAGAACTTGCTATGTCTATTCAGTATTGCCCTCTCTAATATAGCGATGGACATATTTTGGATTTGGTAATTGCTCCTGGACTACCCCGTCCTACAAAGTAGATTCCTGAGCTGCTACTGCAGAGGTACTGATACAGTTTCTCGAGGACTATAAAACAGTACACCCAAAGCAAAGATGAGAGATTGAAATTAGAACCAGCAAAACATGACACATTCTGTAAAACTGCAAGCAAGTTTTTAAGTTTTCTGATAATGGCAGGAGAGAAAGAGAAACCAGGAGGAGAGAGGGACAACAGTCATTACAGAGGCAGAATGTGGAATCAATGATTCTTTATAATAAATTAATCCATTATGTAGCCTTAAAAGAAACAAGATTGAAAGATCAGGAAATGATGACTATGTAAAAATGGCCACAGAAGTAGCGAGAACACAGCACACGCAGGTTGGTCCCATAATATATGTATGGGTTGCTCAACAAAACCTAATGTCACAGGTAGTGGTGTCTGGGGAGAAAAGCCCCTCAGGGAAGGATTTTTTTTTTTAAAAAAAAAGGATATTGTGGCACTATGCTTTCTATAAAAAATAGAAGAATTTTCTGAAAATCCCTGGTTATAATGACAACTTCAACGTTTCTCCAGTTTCACATGAAACACAAAATATTTTTTAGAAAACAGATGGTATATAAACACATGCCTCTATATTTATCTAATAACATTTCCATTTGTATTTAATTTATCAATGTATTTAGTTCTACATACTTATAAAATGCTTTTCTGCCTGCCTCACAAGCTCAAGGTCCCGAGTTCAATCCCCAGTACAAAAAAAAAAAAAAATCCTTTGTATCTATACATAATTAATATATAAATGTACATACTTATATACGTTTATACCTAATAATATTATAATAGAGTCTATTAAGGAAGGAGAGGAAGAGCACAGGGCTGGACCCAGGAACAACCAATATTTAGAGAATAAACAAAAAGGAACCAGTAAGTAAACAGGACAAAGTAGTGAGCAAGGGAGTGATACAGGCAACATGAGGAATTGCAGAAGCCAAGAGAAGAAACAGTTTCAAGAAGGAGGGGATAGTTAGTTAACTGTATCACACAGTAAGACAAAGAGATAACTGAAAAAGACTGACCCTCAGACTTTGAAGATGATACAATGGTGATCCCAATACACAGCAGTCAGGTGGGGTGAGATCCCACTGAAGTGCATTAGAGAGAAAAAGGGAAGTCCGTGCAGAGAAGACATGAAAGCCTTTTTGAACACAGGCCAGGAATTTAGCTCAGTGGCTCTGCCGCCTGCCTTGCAAGCACATGGTCCTGAGTTCGATCCCCGGTACAGAAAAAAAAAGAAGAAGAAGAAAAACCCTTTTTGATACCTTATACTGTGATGATAACAGAAAGAGATGAGTAGTTAGAGGAGCCTATGGGGTGGAGGAAGGGGATTTAGGCTAGATTCAGTTGGGTCATTTGGGCCATTGAGAAAATTGAACTGGAAAAGAAAAAGCTAATGATCCAGAAGAAAAGAGCTAACTAGTAACACAAAGAAGTGGAGAAAAAGTGGGATCCTGAGCATAAGAGGAAGCTCACAGACTACATGTGGACAGTTCAGCCACATCCATAGAGCAAGAGCAGAATAGGAACACACATAGGTAAGAGAAGAAATACAGTAGGAAGAACAGATATGGCAGAAAGTTTAGAGAATTCCTGTCCGATTGCTTAGGTTTTGAGAAAGGATGAAATATCAAGGAAAGGTATTTCCAAGACGGATACCACAGGGAATCAGTACCATGGTGGCTGCAATAACCAATCATCACTAGTTTACGGTGCACACTTTAGGCCAAGTACATTCATGATCTCACCCAGTCCCCACAGCCAGCCAATGAAGTGATAAGACTAAAGTGTCCACTTCCATCAGGACGAGTGAAGTTTAAAGAGATTATGAACCATGACTTGGGAGTTAAGCATTCTCAATTCAAAACCAAACCATAACCTGTAACCGCTTTAAGCCCTTCATTCCTACACACGTGTACACACACATACACACACACAAACACACACACACACACAGCAATAGGATGTTGTACTACCCATAAGCAGCATGCGTAACCATGCTTCCTCTTGTGAGAAAGCAAAATAAGAAGGTAACTTTGCTCAGCCAGTTCTATTCCTCTCTTATATCATCATCGAGTTTAACTCGATAAACTTAATAGCCCTGTTAGCATGGTTCTTAATTACTGTTTTCTCAAAATATGTATTGGAGTTAGCAAAATAAGAAGGTAACTTTGCTCAGCCAGTTCTATTCCTCTCTTATATCATCATCGAGTTTGTTTTAACTCGATAAACTTAATAGCCCTGTTAGCATGGTTCTTAATTACTGTTCTCTCAAAATATGTATTGGAGCTCTCTGATTACACTTAATATGTAATAGAAATAATGTAAAACCACTTAGTCTTTTGATGTTGGAAGCCTAGAAATAAGAGACTTGTTGAAGTGCAGAAGTCACACCCGGCACGAGACACTGTGATAGAGATGTGAGGATGGTGGGAAAGTGACATTTTGAATGATAAACACTCAACCAAAGGAAATGAATGATTTGTTCAATAATAATGCCAATAATAATGCCTTAAATATAATTAATGTATTTTATTTCTTAAGCCCAGCAAAAAAAAGAGGAAAAAAAGATGGGTTAAAAACAAGTTATCAAAACTTCCTATCTCACCAGAATTAAAATTGACATGAAAAAATGTATGCTCAATTGGAAAACTCATTACTATGTATCATTTAACAATATAGCCTAATTAAAATTTTACCAAAACATAATTCTCCACGTGATTTAAACATGTTCTATTTCCTTAAGGTTTAAAAAGTATTTAAACTATTTCATATTTATAATAGCTTTTTAAAGCGTCTCATAAAATAAAATTAGTTTCTAACAAATTTATTTGGTGGACAACAGTTCCTTTTGACTTTGAAAGGTCAGGGGGAGGACAACTTGAAAAATCTAAATATATTCTTTTGTCTGATATATAAAGAATAAATGTTGAAGTCAGCAAGAAAGTGCATCTAATTTTAATTATCTCAAGTGGAAATTCCCACTGTGGGACTCTTCAGAGAAAAGCCACAAAACAAAATTTATTTTGGGAAAATATCCTAATGCAAAACACTATTGTGTGAAACTATATCCCAATAGGCACTTGGTGATGCGAGGGGAAAAAATCCTACACTGCCCCAAGTCAAAGCTATAAAGCTATTTCAGGGGTATATTTTTTAAACCTTCCCACTTCTGAAAATCAAGAGACCATATTTTAATTGAAGAATAAAGGGGAAGCCTTTAAGTAACGTAACAAATGAATTTAACTCTGGGTAATGAATTAGTAGATGCCACATGGAACGTAAAATGGTACTGGGAAGGTAGCGCATTGTGACTTTTAGGTCCATTTTTGCCAAATCAGGGTTTAACCTCAGTAGTGAACTTCAAAAAACAAGCAATTCTGAATTAAATTATTGATCTGAAAATAACTTGCATCCTATCTTCTGCCAGCGGAATGTATGGCTTTGCGAATTCATGCATTTACGACCACAAGCAACAGAGCAGTTCAAGATGTTAGAATCGTCATTACTTTTATTTCTAAACAAGGCACATCTGTTCTCACAAAACTTTACTCCAAGTTTTTAAGATAATCCCACTTTTATATATGTTCTTTAAAGCTCAACTAAAGAGACAAATAATTTTTCCGTCACCTTTTTATTAATGCATGCGTACTTTTTTTCATGTTTCCCCCAAATCATGTTATTTGTGAGCACATAAAGGGACAGCAGTGATCCTACTGACTAGAGTGGAAGATGTGACCGCCACAGGGCCTCTCAGAATAGGGATTCCAAGGCCATAAATCCTGTAACCCACACAGTCACTACTCTGAAGGGGAGCCACCACAGATAACATCTGTTGTCTTAAGTGACGAAAAGCACTCACTGTATTTTATTTCTGTGTGTGTTTACCTTTTGTCCATCTCTCCCTGGTTCTCCTTTGTAACCTGGTTGTCCACGTACTCCCTAAATTAATCACAAAATTAAAATATGTTAATTATATTTTTGGTTCACTAGAAATGAGATTTCTAACATGTGCAGAAACAGATCACGTACTTGTATTCCTGGAGATCCTGGAACACCTGGTGATCCTGAGATTCCCTGATATCCCTAAAGAAAAATAAAAAATTAGTAACATTTCATTGTGTTTTCCAAGCGTAGCTCTCCACTTCAAGATGAACTCTGCTCTCAAGTTTGTTATACCTGAAACTTCACTTAGTGACTTTTAAAACACTCGACATAGTAAAGCATCAAATGCTTAATAGTCAATATCCCATTATCTTAATTAAATCCTTAAAAACGCATAAGAAAAGACCTTTAAAATCTCTAGATTCATAACATATATCTGTGTACACTTAAAAAGAAATCTTTGGAATGAAAATGCAGAATCAATGTTCTACAAATACAGAATTCTTAAACAAACATCCTGCACACTGGGAAGATACTTGACACATTCAAGAGAAAAGCACCTAAAGATACTGCAGAAGTAAGCAAACTTAGTACAGTTTTTACTACCTGATCGATGGTGATCGAAATTAATTGCTGGAGCTAAGCAAGCCTTGATGAATGTTATTCTTCACCTTTACATTTATAATAATCTTTTGCTTGCTAATTCTAGAAAGCTGCTGATGTTAAATTCAAGACAGGGCTGTGACATGTTCCCCTTCCTCCCAAAGAATGAGCTGTCTGTTACGGGAAGGGCATGAAGAGGAGCAACTTATAGGTCCAGTGCTACTTATGCCTTCCTCAAGAAACCAGACCCTTGGTAATACAGCAGAACTCTTTTAATCACACACAAACCATTCTTCATTCAGTCCATCACAACTCATCTTCAAACAAGATCAAAGGCCCTGGCCTTCATCTAGTTTTCTTAGGGGCAATTTCAGGTTAACTCAAACTACTATTCACTTCTGATACATTTACAATCCATTCAGATTTTTGGACCTTACTACTTGGGTACAGGTATCTGTAGTGAATAGGAGCTATGCAGATCCCATTAAAATTCCCAATTATAGTAATACCTTGGTTCACCAAAAATTCTTCCCACAGATAATTTAGTGCACAAAAAAAAAAAGTGTTCGACAAAATTTTGCTTCTGTTCATAAACTGCAACACACTGGGTAACAAACACAACCTTGGGCATCTTCCCTACACATGTACAAATGCAGCCATCTTCCCCAAAACTGTAAAACAAATTGTTTGTGAACCAAGGTATCACTGTAGTTTTTCATGCTTAAATCCAAAAGCCTCATTTCCACGTGGCTATTCATGTACGGCTGCATGGCCCTCATATTCACCTACTTCACTGTCAGTATGTTTTACTGTAAAGACATCTCAATTCACTGATTTTCTACTCACTTTCAAATACTCTTCTAATATCCTTTGCTAGCTATGATAATAATAATGGCTCTCTCTGAAAGTTAAATCTTAGATTATTGATTTTCTCTTTTTTACATGCAGTTACACTCATTTATAAATGCTTTCTTACACATTTCTAGAATGATGCTGATTATAGAATTTCCATTACCAATGCTCACCCTTCCTTCACACTCCATTCAATTGTCCATATGTTACACTGTGCTTTTCCACAGTATTATGGCTTAGGTCTAAAAATCTCCCCCGAAGCCTCATATGCTCACAGGTAGGGATTTTGGTAGGTGATTGGATTATGGCATTTATAGCTGGCTTACTATTAGAAGGCAGGTCATTGAAGGCTTGGCCTAGAAAGACATATCTCCCTCTCCAGCCCCTCCACACATGCCCTCTGTTTCCTGTCCACCACGCTTTGAGCAGCTCTTCTCCAACATGCCCCTGTGTTATGCTGTCCTGCCTTGGACCTAGTTGACCATGGACTGAAAACTCTGCAAAGTGTGAACCAAAATAAAATTTTCCACCTTTAAACTGCATATGTTAGGTATTTTATCCCAGTGACAAATGATTAAGAGAATGATTTTTCAGATGTAAATTTTTCTGCTGAGTCATTTTGTCCATCCTCAAATATTTCACTTCAACAGGTAACAATTAGCCTCACAGTCCACTTCCCTGTACACCATACAAAACAACCTGCAATGTTGAAAACCACCATCTGCTCTCTGGGTTGCCATGGTCCCTGGGTCAGTGGATTATGAAATGATCTAACCCATCTCTGCATTTACAGCATTTAACACATTGGCACATTTTTGTTGATCAAACACTGGATGAATTTACTTTTAAGTAATACATGCTGTACACAAGTATATAAAATCTCTGCCCAATGAATGGTGTTATGTTTCTACAGCATGCACTAGTAAACTGAATTTTCAGTAATATAATGTGGTTCCTGCTGTCAAAGTCAGTTAAAAGAAAAACTAAAGCAAATACAATAGAGCTTGTTTAAATTATCCCTCGACCACTTCTGCTATTTCTGAATTTCCTTCCTTCAACCACTTTGGAATAAGACAGACCACAACTTGAGTCTCAACTCTGTCCCTGCTGTCAGTTTACTCAGCTAGATGACTTATGAATGTCATCAGTGACTATGTCCTTCAGGCCCTTCAAAGCCCTCTGTGCAACCTCTGGATAATCCAACATGATTCACAAGAGACTACTGTAATTCAGAAAAATAATAATAGTAATGATTTACATGTATGTATTTATGATGTTCCACACTAACTGCTTTACATCAAATAATCCACATAATCTTCACAATCACTCTTTATCAATGGTCCTAAATTATCCCCACTTTCAGATGAGGAAATTAAGACACAAAAGCTTTAACAGCTTGTACCAAGTTATGCAGCTCATAAGTTGTCAAAGCCAAGGAACACGCTCTCTCAGAGAGTGCTTCATGGTAGACCAGACACGATCATTCTAGACTGGCTCATCAGATTCAGAGAAGTCCACTTTTCCAGGCTATTTTTAAACTGTTGATTAATTTTGAGTGCCCAGAAAAAAGGAATGTTCATAATATTCCTCAAAAGAAAGTTACTGTGCAGAATGGCTATTAATCAAGCTGGTCAGTAAATTGCAAAGCTGGTCAGTAAAGTTCAAATTTAATAAACTTTTTTACTTTCGATTATTTTCAAATGTTAAACCAAATGCTACACCTGTCTTATTACACTGTTGAAATAAAGTTGATCTTTTATTTTAGATTAAAAGCTGTTGCACTGTCTCTTTCTGGTTGTTGATGGGATGCATTTGTTATAGAGGATACAATGCATTTTAATATATTAAAACAATGTGGAAATGCCCTACACTGTGTTCCCAGCTTACCTCTGACTCATAATGTGACCTCAAACAGAGTCACTGAAACTCCAGATCATGGGAGGTAACACAGTGAAGTGGAAAGACAATGAATTTTAAAACTGGAAAAGACCTTGGGCTAAGTTTTTGCTCCTCCCTTCATTTTCTATGGGATTTTGGCTAAGTCACTTTGGCAAGCAAAGGTTCAGTTGTGAATCACAAGATGGGGTAACAATATCCTATTCACTTTTAAAAGGAAAGAACCATAGTAACAGGTGAAGATTCTGGCAGCTATTAGGTACTCAGTAAATAAAGTTTCTTTCATTTCTTCAACATATCAACAACTGGGAAGCCACAAGAGCCCTGCTTCAAAATGTTACTACAGAGGTTTAACAGCCGCCATTACTGCTCTGGGAAAAGGTAGGTGCAGTCATCCTCATTAGGACTTAACTCTGTGCAACATTCACACAGACAAACATGGCCTCTGTGTATTTTACAATGGCTGCTTGTTTTGCTTTTGGAGGAACTGTAATATAGAATAAGTGCTTCCCACAATAAGAGAATATTGTGCAATATATCTTCTTAAAACTTATAATGAGATGCATTCTTGAAATCTTAGTTGCAGAAAGCAATTCAAAGCTTATTTTAGAAGCTAGAGGAAATATGCTTAGTAACAAAATAAAGAAAACCACAACCACATCCAAACTGGGGGATCCCTGGGCAAAACACCAAAAGAAACTGGATAAAATTCAGAAAAACAAATGTTGGACTAAACATCAGGAAAATAAAGGTTAATGAGGAGGAATATTACTACACAACAATTTCCAAGAAGAAGAAGAAATAAAACATTCACTGACTCATAGTAGGGTACACTAAAACAAGAGAAATGCCCTAAAGGAGGATAAATGATAAGCTTTTCACACAGCCTACTGAATTTTTATTTTTCTGAAGTCATAGGATTCTTCACTATTGCAGAACTGCATCTTTACCATAATCTTTGACTGTTTAACACTGTTCAGTGTGAATTTTACCATTCTGCAATTATTAGTAAATCCAAGTATCTACCCTAATCCCATCTGTGGGATTTCTTGCAGTACTGAAGTCTTTTCCTTGGTCACAGAAAGTCTCTTTGTAAATGAGTCATTTTTTTTTTTTTTAGGAAAAATATCTTCTTCCTGCCAAATTGTGAAGTTGAAGAATACAGCACGAGTTTAATTTTCTTCTATGATTCATAGTTAACAATGCTCCAGGAAAGATATATAACATTGAAATGGATATTAAGGAAACAAAATCCACAAATGTGGAATGGTCACCATATTTTCTGAGTCTAATTCTAATCATGCCATAAAATACTTTGCCAAATTAAACATTATAATGTATTTTCTCAAAGCAATGAGGAGGGTAGATAAATTAGTTTCTCTTAATATTCTAAACTTCAAAATGAGAATAAAATCGTTTTGGATGTCACCCTTCTTTTAAAAATGGAAGAATGTGATCTAAAGTTTATTTTATTACACAATTTTCTTCAAACATTTTCCAAAATTCCAACTGATATTCTTCAGTATAGAGCCAGGGTAACTTAGTAACCAAAATCAAGTGTGTACTTTTAATGTCCACTGTGATTCTGCTGTCACTGGCAGACTTACAAGCACTGTACAACTACTACCAAGAAAATGCAGAAATCTTTGTCATGTACAGAACAAGGTAGGGCAAACCATATCTTAAAAACTGAAAGGACAGAGAAGGTAAATGAAGCACGCAATGGTAGACTGAAGGTACAGCTTATGGGTTTTATGAAGAACTATGATCTTTATCCAAGATGTAAAATTATTTAAACTAAGGCTAAATGATCAGACTGGAAAGATCACTGGCTACACTGGTGAGGGCAG